CCTCCCTCCACCACTCCCTTAGGCGTGAAGCCCATTAGACGCACAATGACGGTCTGGTCGGCATCAAAAGGCTCAGGACAAAGCCGTGGGCCTGCTGACCACAGAAACAGTTTGGGTTAAACTAAATATAACGTCGGGCCTCAGGCCTCAGCCCAAGGCCCATGAAAGCAGACAACCCCCCACCACACCCCGAAACTAGTCAGACTGGCACAGGCCGATGTCAGAACCTGAACCAGCGACCAACTCCTTCCTGCCCTGGCCCCAGCCCATCGGGAGATCCCGGGACCCCCACCCCCTTAGTCACCGTGATCAGTGATGTTCCCCGTGTCCGGCCTGTCCCTGGGAGCGCTCTATGCGTGTTACATGGAATTCTCCAGAAATCTCTAGTCTCAGCCGTAGAAACCCTACGGTAATCCCCTCCCGGGAGTAACCCCAGCAGATGCTCTGTGACCCCTGCGACCCCTCACTAGGTCCCCGTGACCCTGTCGACCCCTCAATAGGTCCCGTGACCCTGCGACCCCTCTGTAGGTCCCCGTGACCCCTGACAACCCCTCAGTGGGTCCCCGTGACCCTGCCGACCCCTCAGTGGGTCCCTGTGACCCCTGACAACCCCTCAGTGGGTCCCCGTGACCCTGCCGACCCCTCCGTAGGTCCCCGTGACCCCTGACAACCCCTCAATAGGTCCCGTGACCCTGCGACCCCTCCGTAGGTCCCCGTGACCCCTGACAACCCCTCAGTGGGTCCCCGTGACCCTGCGACCCCTCAGTAGGTCCTCAGCTCCTGTGCGGCTCTGCCTCTCGAACTTTACGGGACCCTGTCCTCACGTGACCTCAGGGAAGCCCTGACCGAGCCCTGGGGGGGCCTTAGGGGTCCGTCCTGGGGGGCCTGGGGAAGGCTGCTGGCCCCTCCCGTGGAGCCCAGGGAGCCCAGGGATGTGGTCACAGCCCGAGGCCCCAACACACCCTCCTCAGAGGCCGCTCCTCACAGCCTCGGGCCCGCAGACACTGCAGAGACTGA